GTGTGATTGGCACCACACGCACCAGAGGTTTCTTGAGATCCAACCAAACCCTAGTACGTAGGTATAGCGTAGAATTGATCTTGCCCTCATTCACCACTACGGTGATAGGATCCCCAACCTTCTTCGCTACCTTCTCCGCCAACTCCCTCTTCTTCATAAGACCCTCCGGGACCCCTTGAATTCTTGCCCAGACTAGGATCTTGTCCAGCTTATAAGCGTGAACGTTGGAGAAGCCATCATACTCTTCCATCACAATAGCCGAGCCTCTAAACTACCATGGACTTCCTTCCATTACCCTCGACCAATCGCCAAGGCAATGGAGTTGTACCAGGAACATATTCGGACCCAAAGCCTTGAACTTCACCTCTTTTGCGGCAGACCAAGCTTTCCTTAGGGCACTATACAGCGCAACGTGGCTGAACGGCTTCATCGTGTGAACCCTAAAAAGGGCAAGCCAACGAACCTCCTTCACGAGCGGGTGCGGCGCCGCCACGCTGGAGAAGGCCGCGGCAGGCGGGTGCGCTGCCTGCGGCGTGTGGCCCTGCGCAGCTGCGCTGGAGAAGACGAGCGACTATTTTTTGGAGATACAGAGGCGAAGTGTCTGAAGCAGTGGGCGAAGTGAGGGTGCATGGCATCCGGAGGGACGAACACCCGCGTCCTATCATTACCATTTATAAAAATAGCTTATAGCTTATTCACATAGCACGTTTTCCACGTTCACAATTGTCTTTGGTTGGTTGTTTTAGTTAACACATCTTGTGGGCCAACAAAGGTCCACGCATCTAAAGAGGCAAGTACAACAAACACAAATATGATAATTGAAAAAAAATATCACGGCAGATATAGATGTAGCAAAAGCTCCAAAATCAATTTTTTTGTTTCTTTTTAGTAACGGGGAACTCGAAAGTCTAAATTGAGAAGAACGACAGACTAGCGCCTTTCATCATCTCTTACGAGTCATAGCAGGGAAAATAATTATCAGTGATAAGACAGCATTGACTTTCCGACAGCACTGACTTTCCGACAGCTGTTGTCCTGTTGATTAAAAAGGTCCAACAAACCGGAAAGAAGACTAGTCAATCATCAATCAAGGAAATGCAATTGCTATTTCTCTTTCGACCTTCTCCTCCTCTCTTCTACGTCGATCCCCAACCCAATCGGCTCCATTATTTCTCGTGCTGGCACCGTCTCCATTAATTCGGTGGATAGCTTGAACGCTTGATGCATCCCACCTTGCTGTTCCTCCCGCTCTTGGCCTCCTTGCTCCTCCTCCTCTTCCATGACCACGCCAGCGCAGACTGCGAGCCGGCGGCATGCGGGAACCTCACCCTCAGGTACCCGTTCTGGCTCGGCAGCAGCACCAATAATCCGCCTTCTTCTTCCAGCTGTGGCCACCCGGGCTTCGAGGTCTGGTGCAGCGGCGACGGCCGCGTGGCCTCCTTGAAGGGCACCTACATCCACGTCCTCAGCATCAACTACACCGCCAGCTCCCTCGTCGCCTCCCACGCCAGGGTCGCCGGCGACGACGGCGTGTGCCAGACAAACTTCAACGTGTCCTCCAGCATCGTGCTCAGCCTGTTCAATATTACCCCACACAACCGTGCCCTGTGCTTCCTCTACGACTGCAACAACGGCACGGCCCCGAGCGGCCCCGAGTACGTGAACACCACCTCCAACTGCAGTACTCCGATCTACGCGTACCTCGGCGGGGCCTACTACTGGGAGAAGCCGCCGGCGCCGATCACGACGTGGAGATGCGAGTTCGCCTACATGCCGGTGCTCGGGTCGGAGGCGGCGGTGATGACGGCGGCCAACTACAGCCGGCTGCTGAAGGACGGGTTCGTCCTGGACTGGGAGGTGGCCGGCGTTGGCGACTGCCGAGCCTGCAACGCCAGCGGCGGGCAGTGCCGGTACGACAGCGCTGCCGCGGAGTTCTGGTGCCACTGCCCCGACGGCAGGCGCGCGCGGCCGACATGCGCCGGTGAGTCCCACGCGCCTCCCCAACTTGCCCACGCCCTCCGTACACGTATGTGCCTCTCCCTCTACAGTAGTCAGCGTGTGGTGTGTGGACGCCGGCGGCCGTCGCGGACTCGGCACGTACGTGCTGGTCGTTTTAGCCGCACGACTTTCTTACTGACACTAATTGCACGAAGCACGTACTAGCTCTCGTGTCACTCTCAGTAACCTTGGCTAGCTCCGCTCAATTCACCGGTAGCTCAGGCGCGCGGCAGCTGCAGTGAGTGACATTTGAAGAGTTGCCGGGACTGTGTGGTGCGCGCACTGGCCACACGCCGCGATCCTATAGGCAAACGCGTGTGAAATCACTGATGCCATCTTCCCTGCCGGCGCAGCGGAGTGCTCGCCGTCGCCGGGTGTCAACTTCACCTGCCATGCCAATGCCATGAATTAGCTTTCTCGTGTCCTCTTCGCGTATGATTGTTCTCGTTAGTGCTCTGACGAACGCATCAAACGAAAGAATATGAGCACTTGCCTGAAGCTTCGGTGGCTTTGCTGTCATCCAAACTTTATTGCTATTCCTGGTAGTAGGTTGCCGTTAGCATTGCCAAAATGCTCATTTGAGGCAAGTGGGTCCACAACTTGTGTAGTATGGCTACGGCACTGACGAAGCCAGGGAAGCGTTAATTATGCTTGTAAACGCGTGTACGGTCCGTGTTTTCTTCCCTTCCTGGCAGTGGAGTGGTCGCAGCCAAGCAACAGGGGAGAGCTGGGCGTCACCTCAACCTACCGCCAGCATTTAGCATTCTCGTGTCCTGTTTGCGTAGGTATAGGGCGCGTTTATATCTAAATTTTTTTGGTTTTTGCTAATGTAGCATTTTCGTTTGTATTTGATAATTAGTGTCTAATTATGGACTAATTAGGTTCGAAAGTTTCGTCTCGCGATTTCTCATGTGCAATTATTTTTTTTTTGTCTACATTTAGTACTCCATGTGCCGCAAGATTCGATGTGATGAGTACTGCGCAAAAAAAATTTAGAAACTAATCTGGCCTGACACATCGATGGAAGCATGAGTACCTTCTTGCAGGTGCTACAATGTCCATTTGTGGCAAGTGGGAGCAGGCACAAAGTGGCCACCCGATTTGCCACTTTGATTTTCTTCCTCGTCAAAGTAGGAGGCACTTTCTAGGGACAAGTGTCTCACAAAGTAGACTTACTCGTTGGAACTATTAGTATGTCTCACCAGACTTTTCTTTTACATATTAATTAATGTCGTTGTTTTTAGAAAAATAACTACAATTTTACTGCTATGAGTGCAACTACTCTCATTTCTCACCAAATCCTAAAACAAAACTTACATATATCAATTCGATCTTGATTGAAACTTTAATCCAAGTCCCCGCAAAAAAAAAAACTTTAATCAAAGAACTCAGGATTTTGACCTTCCATTTTATGGGTTCATACTAAAAAAAAGTATCTTTAAGGTCTCTATAAATTTGAGACAAACCATAAAAATCTTTAAAGTGTCTGATATCAACAATTTCCATGCACAATACTAACAAAGAGAAAAGGGACTTCAACTAAAAGAAACACTATTGTATTTGTTGTAAAAATCTACGTAGTCTTCTCCCACGGCCACGATCTCCAGAAAACACACACAAACAGAATATGGCAATTAAGTTGTCGGCATGATGAGTAGTTATAGAATGTGGATTATTTGCATTTAAATTAGCACTCTGTTTAGGAATGCTTTGAATATAAAATTTTCTTAAAACTAGCCAAAATAATAAGGGTTGCACTCCCCAGTCCCCAGTCCAAGTAGTAGCATATTGCATCTTAAGTGGACCTAAATATATAATAGAACTGTTGCTTTGGCAGACACTGACAAGATTCTACTAGATTTTTTTTCCTAGCACGAGCATGTTCACCCGTATCCGGCAAGTAGCACCGAGTCCGCTGCTAGGAAATCGATAGCAACATATTTTTTTTAAAGAAGGAATTTGTGACAAAGACATCTAAACTCATCCTGCAAAAGTCAGTAGTAATTTGGTTCCATAAAAAAAGTTAAAAAAGAACACTCAAGTTGTTGTTAATACACTTTCTTAGCTTTTGCCAACATGTTCATGTTGAACCTACAAAGCCAAAATTGGTTGATAATAGAAAATAAAATAAAAGGCTCACACTCTCTAGCCTAGTATGTTTGTTCCTAAGCTGAAGTGGCCATAAATATAAAATTCAGAGTTTTTGCCATAAAAAGAAAATGCACTTGCAAGTAAAGTTTGTCGTGGAAATATTGGAGCTGTTGCTTTGGCTGACCGTGACAAGCTAAGATTCTTTCATCACTCGCAAGTAAAAAGTATGCTGGCACAATCCGGCAAGTAGCTATTTCTACCTTCTAGTTTGTGCAAGGATGACATCAACCATGGCTGAAGCGTTTGGTTGAGTAGCTGGTTTGTATTATCTCTTTTTTTGCTTTTTTTCTTCGTCTAATAAAAATTACTGCAAATAAAGCTTTTGCTGTCCTTTAAAAAAAGTCATGAACAGTTGAGTCCCTTTAAAAAAAAAGCACGCTAGGCTGTAGTTACTTTGGTAACTTTTGCCAACACATTCAGGTTGGAACTACAAGCCAAAACCAATTATTGGGTCGACCACTTTCAAAGTCTGCTAGCTCGTCTCCCCAGCCGTACGAATAAGAATAGCATTTGGTGGCTTGGTGTATATGTTTGGCAAAAAGTGAGAGGAGCTCGTTGGCCGGCCGCCAGGATGCAGGAGCGTGCCTTACCGTGGGGGGATGGAGCGCGCATTCGCGGTCACGTCAGTCATCGCCGTGCCCCGGCCGTACGTGCATCGGGCAACTCGGAAGCTCCGAGCGTGCTGATGACGACGCCCCGAATGCCCCTCAGTCAAAGTTTTCGGGTATATTTCTCAGCCACACGACACGACGACGCGGACTCACCTTCACTATTTACTCAGCCACACCTGTGTGTGTTCACCAATAATCACCCTTCTGTTCGTCCTGCGAAAGCCATCTTCGAAGCTTTCCATGGCTCTGGTTCCATCCTCGCTGCTGCTCTTCCTAGTCTCGTCGTCGGTGTGGGTGGCCTTATCCTTACCATTGCCGGTGGCAGCAGCACAGGGGCAAGGAGAGCACTGCCTGCCGTTTTCATGCGGCGACGTGACCATCTCCTTCCCGTTTGGGCTCATCCCGGATGGCGCCGGGCAGACCAACTGCGGCGGCGGGATTGGGTTCCAGCTTCGTTGCCATAACAACATCCCATACCTCGGGTCCTATCAGAGCGAGCACGACATGCAGATCCTCAGCATCTTCTACCACAACCACTCCTTGCTCATCGCCGATAGACACTGGCCTGCATATTTCAATATTAGTAACACTGGAAGATGCCACACCTTCCCGACCAGCACCTCGTCCCGTCTTGCTCCTCCGTTCTCGATCAGCTCCGTCAATCAGAACCTCACCTTCTACAACTGCAATAAGCCGCCGCCGTCGTCGCCTGGTGTGGACCTCGTGGAGACGGTGTGCCACAAGGCCCACAACATCACGTTTGTTCGTGCCGCAGATGGGCGTCCCGACGAGTCAGCAGGCAGCTACTTCTTGGAAGGCTGCACCGCTGCCATGGTGGCGGTGCTTGGAGTGCCTGGCAAGGTGAACGCTAGCAACTATGAGCAACTCGTCTGGGACGGCTTCCTCGCGACATGGCAGTGGATGCCGCCGCCGTCACCGTCAGGTAACTTCACTCTTGGAACTTCTTTGAACGAACACACTCTTGGAACTAGTAGCTTCGAATCAGGGCTGAGATAGAAGTGAGAGAGGAGCTCATATCCTTCGTAGGCAGGCTCCGTGGAGAGTTAGCTGATTAGATCCCCATTTGCACTTACCTCTCATCTCAATATCAGTAACCTTGGCTACCTTCCCTCGATGCACCGGTAGCTTTGGCCCGTGGCAGCTCCAGTGATGATGGCTATTGCCCAATTGGTGGTGACACTGACGAATTGCTGGGGCCGTGGTCAGGGCCGGCCCTGTGTTTTTAGGGGCCTAGGGTGAAACCAAAATTTAGGGGCCCCTTCTATACACATGAACTAAGCACTTATACGTATAAATTGTTAATGATAAACGTTTAGTTACATATACAAAAGCGATATTCAGAAAAAAAACAATTCATATATAATAAAATACCTTAAAATTTTATTCTAATGTTCTCGATGCAAAGTCATTAATTATGATAGATACTCTAGTTCCTCGACAACAACCAGTCAACCATCACCATCTTGTTTCGATCTCTATGCTTGAATTACTCTTATAAAAAAACTTATGTATAGATCTCTCTGTGATTGTATTAATTCATCTACTCATGCTCACTTTTTTCTTTTCTCTATTTGACAAGATTTTGTACAAAATATTTTTTAAAAATAAAGGAAGCATGTAAGCTTTACTGTGCGTGTGCATGCATAATCATGTGCGCTTTGAAGAGGCAAGACGATAGTGAAGGAAACTAGCAAATTGCTCTGGCTTTCATGTCTTGTTTAATAGGAGAAGATGAAGAAAGCTAGTTAGCATGGTTGCTCAGGGCCCACCAGATCGAGTTCGCAAAGTAGCTCACATGAGGATCATGAGGAGGCCGGGTTGTAGAACTGAGTTGTTGCAGGCGGTGTGCAGCTAGCAACGGCGAGATGGCTCATTGCTTGAGCCTTAAATACGGTATTCCTGGGATGGGCCCCATGGGATCGGGGGCCTAGGGCGGCCGCCCCGCTCGCCCGCCCTCAGGGCCGGCCCTGGCCGTGGTGCCTGCACTGGCCATACCGCAATCCCTGGCATAGTTGTTGAGATCTCAATTTTATGATACGATTTTGCGGTCCTAGTTTATCGAGTTAATTCTACGAATTTATTAAATACAATCTATGATTTTAAGATTCTAATAGTTATAATAAATTTATGATCTACGATTCTATCATTCAAGTTATGATCCGATTTAGGATTACGATTTTAACATACTTTGCTGCACACTTGTGTGCCCAACATGCTTCGTCTGCTTTAGCTACTTTTGTTTGGTTTGTTCCTCTTAGCTTCTTGCAGCAATATCTGCAATTTGCTATTTAATCAATAAAGCGAAGATTAAAAAAAAACCTTAATGCTTGTGAACGCGTGTATCTTCTTTCCTTCCGGGGCAGCGGAGTGCTCGCAGCGAAGCAGCAGGGGCAGAGCTGGGCGTCACGTCAACCTGCTCCGGCCCGTCATTTAGCATTCTCGTGTCCTCTTAGCGTATGATTAGTGGCTGACAAATCGATGGAAGCATATGAGTAGCTTCTGTGTTGCTTTGCTACAATGTTCATTTCTGGCAAGTGGGTGCAGAAAGTGGCATACGGATACGGTCACAAGTGGCCACCGATTTGGCACTCTGGGTTTCTTTCTGGTCAAAGTAGGAGGCACTTTCTAATTTCTATAGGCAAGTGTCTCACATAGTAGGTTTACTCGTTGGAACTATTATGTCTCACTAGACTTTCTTTTACATGTTAATATTACTGTCTTTAGGAAAATGTCTATGCTATTTTACTGCTATGATGACAGCAACTACTCTCACTAATCCCAGAACAAAACTTACATATATCGATTCGATCTTGATTGAAACTTTCAATCAAAGAACTCAGGATTTTGACCTTCCATTTCATCGGTTCATACTAGCAAAAATTATCTTTAAAGTTTCTACATTTGAGACAAACCATAAAATTATTTGAAGTGTTTGATCTCAACAATTTCCATGCACAACACTAACAAAGAGAAAAGGGAAATTCAACTAAAAGAAAAAAAATTATGTTTGTTGTAAAAATCAGGTAGTCTTCTCCCACGGCCACGATCTCCAGAAAACACACACAAACAGAGTATGGCCAATAAATTGTTGGCATGAAAAACTTGCTTGAAACTAGCAAAAATAATAGGGTTGCACTCCCCAGTCTTAGTAGTAGCATATTGCAAATATAATCTTAAGTGGACCTAGATATATACTCCCTCCATCCCAAATATAACTCATTCCAACTTTCTTGGAGAGTCAAAACATCTCAAGTTTGATCAAACTTATATAATAAAATAATAATATTTATGATATCAAATAAGTATTATTAGATTCTTTCATTAATTATATTTTCGTAGTATACCTATTTGATGTCACGAATCTTTGTAATTCTCTCTATATTTTGGTCAAATTTGAGATGCTTTGACTAAAAAATTAAAATATGTTGGGTATTAGGTAGGCGGAGAGGCTCTGCCTAGCGCTTAAGTGTACCTAAGGGTTTCCTAGGCAATTCCACATTTTTCGATCAATCAGAGCAATTCTTTGTTAAATAGAGAAGATATAGCATGTTAATCGAACAATTTGATAGTTTCACACATACATGAGTTATGACCATACTTAATATTCCACCATCTCTATTTGTTCCATTTTCATGCATGAGTCAAGTCCTAAACCACTATAGGTAGAAAACCACCTAGGCGAGTCAGTGTTGTTTGGCTAGCATCTATGCATCGCCGATCGTTGAGCAACTCCCTTTTTTTTTAATCACTGGTACATGATAAGGAACTTACACCCAGCCAGGGGCGAATCTAACGTGGAGGCTTGGGTTGTGGTCATACAACACTGCCTCGCCCCCTCTAAATCAGAGTAATTCTCATGTTAAAGAAAGTATTTGATAGTTTCACACATACATGAGTTATATGACCATACTTAATCTTCCACCATCTCCATTTGTCGCATTTGGCCATTTTCATGCTTGGGTCAAGTCCTAAACCACTGTAGGTAGAAAACACCTAGGCGAGGCAGTGCTGTTTCGCCTAGCCTAGGCATCGCTGACCACTTTTTGAAACTCAGGTTATAGATGCAGCTACTCTTTTTTCTCACCGGTACATAATACCGAACTTTACACATAGCAATTTGACCTTTTCAACTTTAAGTGATAGAATTCAAGTGTTCAACTGGGGTGAATCGTGACTTCCAAGTTCCAACCAGACAAAGACAACTTTCAACTAGCATCCAACTTTCAATGGAGCCTTGATTGCAACTTTCAATCAAAGAACTAGGATTTTGACCTTCCGATTCATCGGTTCATACTAGCAAAACGTATATTTTAAAGTTTCTACAATTGAGACGAACCATCAAATTCTTTAGCATTTCTGATTTCAACAATTTCCATGCACAATAGTACAATACTAACAAAGAGAAACTAAAAGGGAAAAATATTGTGGAATATTTTTTTTGCTTTATTTAAATTAGCACTCTGTTTAGGAACGCTTACATTTCTCTTAGATTAATTCACTTAAGTTCTTCTTTGAATGAAATAGTGAAATTTGAATGCAACTAGCAAAAATAATAGGGTTGCACTCCCCAGCCTAGTAGTAGAATATGTATTGCTAATCTTAAGTGGCCCCATATATATATATATGATTTCAGAGTTTTGCATTTTTTTTCACTGGCAAGTAAGCATTCCGTGGAAAATAGTAGAACTGTCTTTTTGCGTTTTCCCTAGCACGAGCATGTCGCCCCTATCCGGGAAAAAAAACTGTTGCTGCCTTTGCAAGCCCCGATTCCGCTGCTAGGAAATCGGCAGAAACACATTAGTTTAAGAAATAATTTGTGGCAGACACTTCACCCATACGAAATATCAGTAGAAACTGGGTTTGTAAAAACCACTCCATGTTGTTGTCAATACACCTTCTTAGCTCTTACCAACATATTCAGGTGGAAAGTTGAAACTGCAAGTCAAAATTGTATCTAGCGCATTCCGTTGACCACCTTTTCTTTTGGAAAAAGAGTCTGCTAGTCCCTGTTGATCATTAGAGGTTTGTGTGTACACCCGTCGCCGTTCGCTAATACCAGTCCAGGGTTTGACAAAAGAGCTTGTTGGCATGGCCGACAGTAGCGGTGGCCGGAGCTGGGGTCACGTCAGTGGCTGGCACTGTCCAGTGTCCATCGGGCAGCTCAGGAATTCCCGTGCGCGGACGACGACGGCCAAAACGTCCAGTCAAAGGTTTCGGCCCCCTACAGTGTCCACACAGGACGCGCGGACTCACCCTCACCATTTGTAGTTAGCCACATGCGCGCTCGTGATATTTCCTTCTCCCACCATCACCGATTGTCCATGGCTGTGGCTCCGTCCTTATCGTGGGTCTCCCTCGTCTCCTCGCTCTGGACGGCATGGGCGTGGTGGTCGTTGTCTCTGATGCTCGCGACGGTGGCACCAACGACGGCAGCGGACCGGCAAGGAGAGCTCTGCCCGACCACGCTATGCGGCGGCGTGAACATCTCCTTCCGTTCGGGATCGTCGCCGCAACGGAGACCAAATGTTTGGTGATCGGGTTCCAGGTTCTCTGCTCTAACAATATCCCATACTTCGGGTCGAGTCCATATTCGCCCCGGATTCTCGACATCTTCTACGACAATTTGTCCTTCCTCATCGCCGATGTCCATAAGCTTGACGACTTCCATAGCTCCGCCTCCAAGCCCTGCCACTCCCCGACGAACAACAGCTCCTCCAAGGTCGGCCCCCCGTTCTCGATCTGCCCTGGTAACCAGAACATGATCTTCTACGACTGCGAGGAGCCGCCAACGCAGGCGGAGCGGCAGCGCCGCGGGCTCGTGGACACGGCATGCGGGAACAGGACGCTGGTTGGCGTCGCCAAGCGCCCCGACGTGCCTGGCAGCTACTTCATGGAGGGTTGCAACGCTACCGTCATGCCGATGCTTGCGAGGTCCGGCGAGGTGAACCCAGCAAACTACAAGGAGTTCATCAGTGAAGGATTCCTCTTGACATGTCGCCATCACCGGCTGACAAGTTCGCAATTGGAATCTAGAGCTACTACCATAGCATAGAGAGAATTGCAATCATTGGGCACTGGTCTAAAAGTTGTCCAGCACACCACAACTCCACAAGAACATGAGTAGCCACGGGATAGACCTAAAAGCACGGACCTGGCAGCCCAAACCACCGATCAGCGTGTTTACCCGCTGATTTTATAAGGACCGTAGCGAAACGCGTTTCGTCGTTGCCAACCACGGTGGCCGGTAGGCGTTTTTTAGCTTAGCCGCCGGCACTTCGCCGTCAGGGGTCGGCAGCACGGAGGTCAACGGGATACAGTATATACTACTCGTATTGAAACTTGAACAAAAAAAAAAAAGAAGAAACCGAGAGTAATCAAGCCTGAGGCGTGGACCACGACCGGTCAAAGGGCTCGCCAGTTGCCACCGTCCTCTGAACTTTACCCTCCTCTTCTCCCCTCGGCATCATCATATCCGTCCCGTCCGGCCGTCCCTCGCTCCATTCCATTTTCCCTGTCACCGGAGGTCCCTGCCTGGCCGAACTCCGAAATTCAAACCACTCTGCCGCTGACACCCCCTCCATCTCCATCCCCAATCCGCTATGCAACCACTCCTCCTCCTGCTACTCGCTTCATTCCTCCTCCCGCCGGCGGCGGCCAGCGCGGCAGAGTCGTCAGGCTGCTGGCCCAAGGCATGCGGGGACCTCAACATCACCTACCCGTTCTGGCTGGAGGAGCCCGGCAAGCCGCCGTGCGGACCACCGTCCTTCCGGCTCAAGTGCAACAGCAGCGGCGCTTTCTTGACTAAATCCGTCTACCAGGCGTATCAGGTGCTCAGCATCTTCCCAACAACAACTCCTTCCATGTGGTGGACCACAACCTCCCGCTCGCCACCGGCTGCCCAGCGCCGACGGTGAACATCTCGCTCCTCTCGCCCGCGTTCGTATTCAGCAAGATCAACAAAGAGCTGCTCTTTCTTGGGAAGTGCACGGGGTTTCCACCGGCGGAGTCAGCTGGGTTTCACAGCCTGCCTTGCGACAACAGTTCCTTTGTCCGGCTCGGCGACGGCCGGAATTTCTCGAGCGACGGCATCCAGGGAGGGATCCCGCCGGGCTGCCTCTTCACTGTCGCGCCGTTTCTCGGGTCTCCCGATGAAAATGGGGACAACTACATCGCCAACATGAAGAATGGGCTTCTCGTAGAGTGGAAAGCGGTGCCAGACGATTGCCCCAAGTGCATGGCAAGCGGCGGGGAATGCACTTACGGGGGCGACGACGGCACGAAGTTCGCCTGTGATTGCTCCGGTGACAAGTGCGGTGAGTTCAGGAAATTAAAAACGCACATCAATTTCGACCTTTTTTTTGTTGCAAAAACAGAAATTAGTTTGCTAACCTGGAAGGAGTCAAGTTGGCCTATCCCAAATAGTACAAAGAGACCCGGGAAACTACTTTAGGAAGTACTTTTTAGTGAAGGAATAATGTTTTCCTCTCCAACGAATCGGCATAAGCATCAGCGTAAGCCAAATTTCAAAGAAGCTAACAGGGCTGAGGCAATACACATACACAAAAAACACACACACATAAAGAAAAGGGGGACTGAAAAATCAGAGAAGTTCAAGCACAATTAACAGAGGATTGCTTTACTCCTACTCTCCTAGTAGTCAATTACCACTTTACTAGTAGTTCTTTTTCTCGAACAAAACCAGTAGTTCTTAGGTCATGCAATGCAACTATGCAAAGGATTCAATGATTCTGTAGTGTCCATTTGGGTGCCAAATACAGTCCTGCCAATGACATAAAGTCGCTATCCGTACTAATTGAAAACTAACAACAGGTCATCTTCATACAGTTTTGCGTGATCACTGCTACATGGAATATACAATGTTGATTGGAAAAAAGTTTGTCCCGTTTTTACGTGGACAGTCTGCTTCAACGGCAAATTATCTTTTGGTTGATTAGTGTCAGTTATTCCATTGATTGGGACATTGAGGCTTCTTGGCAAGTGAGCCAGGATTTATACGGCAAATCATGATAATTTTATTATTTGGTATGATTATCTAGAAGATATTAATGTATATATGACAAGAAGTATAATCTTCCATTGATACTACTAATTTTTTTTTTTGTTGTCAAACATTGGGGGGGACATTGAGGCCCACTGTATTATAGTCAAAACACATTGGTAGAAATATTCAACTACACTATTTGAAAAAGATGCCATACCAATGGCCCTTATCCCTATTTTTCTTCTACTAGTGATAGCTGACTAGCGAACTGTTCTAGCGTCAGCTAACCAATGCACTATATTTTTTTCTAAGCAAACAATTGAATTGATAGAAGGGCAGGCCTGGTGCAGTGGTGAGAGCTGTCTCACTGAGTCAGGTCGTGGGTTCGAAGCAGCCTCTCCACAGATTTTGCGGGGGAAAGACTTGTCTCGGTTTATCCCTTCCCCAGACCCCACTCATGTGACCCCACTCATGTGGGAGCCTAGGGGGAAAGACTTGTCTCTGTTTATCCCTTCCCCAGGCCCCACTCATGTGACCCCACTCATGTGGGATCCTCCGGCACTGGATCTGCCTTTTTTTTTAAACAATTGAATTGATCTGTTGTGGAATCAAGCTTCTAAAGTTGATAAGAACACACTGCAGTGAATTTATATGGGGGGCAATCATACCCATGTGATGTGATTGTCAGATTTCAACTGCACAGGAGTGCTGTAATCTGCATGGCTTCGACACAAATATGATTGATTTGATATTCACAAGATTACTTGGTGTTTTTTATTTTGATTGTCATTTTTTATGTTTCCTCGTTGCATCATATTGCTCCTGCATACCTTTTGTGAGCATGACATGTCTATGCATTTTCTTCCACCAGGACTCTTTGTTTTCTGGCTTCTGTGCAGAGTCAGTTTGCGTAAGGATTTGCTTACTTTCTAGCTACGAATTTCTGAGGGCTATTTTTCTAGGAATATATCTATTTTTCTAACACTTTTGCAAATCCCTCTCTTATCAAACTGCATCTTTGGTTCTATGCACTTGATACATTGCCAGAACTCTTAGGAATGCATCTTTGGTTCTATGTAGAGAACCTAGGAATCACTGGCTGGTGATATCAAGACCTTGGCTTATAATTTGAAACTAGATTGACCCCAAGACCCTCCCATGCTCATCTTAACAGTGTTTCCCCATGGATTTATGGTTGGAGTACTGCTTTAACCTTTTAGGTTGTTTCAAGGTCAGAAAGTTTACCCTCTAGTCATCCCCCATTTTAACTTTTCTGCCATTTGCTGGTAAATATATAGATAGTTTGGGCCAGCAATCATGACTAAGGAATTTTATAACTCTTTGGACAAAGTCAAAGTCAAAGTCAATGGTAACCAATAACAATGCAAGAAAGTTTCAAACAAGGCACTGGGTTACTCTTGTCCATCCTAATTTAACCTGTCTGGCTGTCCCAGGTGTGCTTCAATCATGTTTTTTTGTCTTGTCTGTAATTTTTTTCTTAACAAATGCTGTTCCTGTTTTCAGCAGTTACAAAAACCACATAATCTATATGGTCAGACAATTTTTATGTCATCACCGTGGTTTAGAAGTCAAGATTATTATTTATTTTACTTCTAACAAGCTGATACTTAGTGGTGTTTCTTGCTATGGTACCACCTTCAATTGAGAATCTGAAATCCAGCAGTTGCTGTATTTTCTTGTGCTGTCTTTTTCAGCTTTACACCTTCAATTTCTTAACATAATCATTTACACCTAGACACTTTGTTAAGATTTAAGTTGTAACATTGCCAGGCTTATGCTTTTGCATGATGTTTCTGGAGATCATAGAGATTTCAATGCATCGATTTATATCCTGCTCTGGTGATTGGCCATTCTATATGGAATGGCCGAATGGGGGGAAAGGTGATGGGATCACGTGAATATTTAGTAGGAAAAAATTTGGCTGTAGGCACCAAAAGAGTGTGGCCTTGTCTCCAGGACAACATCATGTTCGATTTTGGCTATATGACATTGCAAATTTGCAGGTTTATCATGAATATATATATATACCTATTTAATATCTGTAAGTACATCTATGTCGTGTAGCCATACAGGCTTATGTTGTCTTGCTACACAGAGATGCAAAATGGTCACTATTGCTAGACATCAAGTGCTGACAAACATCTCTGTGTTTATTCATACATCTCTTTTTCCCTGGACGGTTTCTTTTCATCTTCTATCAGGCTTTATTCTGCTCATATATACTGCCATATCTTAACTGCCAGCCATGAAAGGCTACAGACTAATTTATTCTGAAAAATATTACATTTAAATCAGCAAGTTATTCATAGTTACTATTCTTATGCAGGAGGAAGCATCACCAAAAAGGCAGTCGGAATTGGTGAGTATCAACCCTGAAGCTGCGTTTTCTATCTATTATATTGGGTCTCATTTCCTGCACTACTGGGACCTTTTAGCATCTTATGTGGCAGAATATCTAGGATCAATTGGTTACACATATTGCTAATGCTGTCACACTATTATGGGCAGTATGTGGAGTAGGAGGCGGCAGTCTATTGGTAGTGTGCTTCTTCTTTTTTGTCTGGCACAAGCGCAAGAGGAGGAAACAAGCTAGAGCACCAAATGGCTTCATGCGTAGTGAATCTTCAATGCAATCATATAGCAAAGACCTTGAGTTGGGTGGTTCTCCACATATTTTCACTTACGAGGAACTTGAAGAAGCTACTGATGGATTTAGTGACTCGAGGGAACTTGGTGATGGTGGTTTTGGAACTGTTTACAAAGGTGGGAATACTATTTACTGAAATCCCTTGTCATTCCTAACTCTGCAGTCTGCATTTCATTATTTCCACATTAACAGATGAAACTATGAACGATAGGATCTATGCATAAAAATATCATTTATCTTTTTTTTTACTTTAATGACAAGGTGACATTTTTATCCTTCAGGAAAACTCCGGGATGGGAGAGTAGTTGCAGTTAAGCGCCTCTACAAGAACAACTATAAACGGGTCGAACAATTCATAAATGAGGTAGACATTTTGTCCCGCCTCCTCCACCAGAACCTAGTCATCCTATATGGCTGCACGTCTCGTAGCAGCCGTGACCTTATGCTCGTGTACGAGTTCATCCCTAATGGGACGGTTGCAGACCATCTTCATGGATCCCGTGCATCAGAACGTGGCCTTACATGGCCTCTAAGGATGAACATTGCCATAGAAACAGCTGAAGCACTTGCATACCTCCACGCAGTCGAAATCATACACCGTGATGTTAAGACCAACAACATACTGCTGGACAACAGCTTCCACGTCAAAGTTGCCGACTTTGGGTTGTCACGTCTGTGCCCTCCTGAAGTCACCCATGTATCAACTGTCCCACAGGGCACACCAGGCTATGTCGACCCAGTGTACCACCAGTGCTACAAGCTAACTGAGAAGAGCGATGTGTACAGCTTTGGTGTCGTCTTGGTCGAGCTCATATCCTCTAAACCAGCTGTTGACATGAGCAGGAGCCACAGCGATATTAACCTGGCCAACATGGCTCTCAACAGAATTCAGAACCACGAAGTTGATCAACTGGTTGACCCTCAGCTTGGTTACGAGACTGATGATGAAACAAAGAAATTGATAGATCTCGTTGCTGAGTTGGCATTTCAGTGTCTGCAGCTAGAAAGGGATTCACGGCCATCAATGAAGGAAGTAGTGGAGGCCCTGAACTGTATCAAGAATAATGGGGATTCCCCAGAGAATAAGACGGATAGGAGCTCCTCATCTCCTAAGGAAGATGCACACTTGCTGACGAATAGCATACAGTATTCGCCTGACTCTGTAATCCACAGATTCCATAGCCAATCAACCACGCACTCGGTGGCATCAAATGCTAGCGGATGAGATACCTTGTATATATACTGATCCAGAAGAAATAAAGCCCTATCGGACGAACTGTATACAGTATAGAGATTTGTTAATGAGCTGATTCATCTGGGTAAGTTGTTTCTTTTTTCTTTGTTGACTGGTTCGTAGTATAAAGTCATGTTGTATGTAGCCACAGCAGGAGCTTGGCATAAAATTAAAACATTAGGCAAAGTAGTAGAATCAGTATCAGGCCAAAAATTGTTGTAATTTGCAAAATTGATTTTCGTTTTGACAAACAATTTTGATCGGGACTCTTTGATTGACAGAAATGAAAAAATAAAACACAAAAAACGAAGAAATCAAGCTGTAGTTTGACCATTTTTTGCAATAATTCAAAACTTGTTTTGTAGAAAATTGGCTGACCGGCCAGTATTTGGTCCACCATGTTTAAGTTGTATTGACCATGTGGTCTGTTCTGTTAGGCACAATCACTCCCATTTTACATTATCAATCGCATTCGCACTTATCTGCAGTCAATTTTTGTGAGAGTGGACATGATTTTCCGAATGCATGTATGAGTGATGTTGGCATTCCTGGGTTTGCGACATTGCTCCTGTTTCTAGCAGCCTTAAGATATGTTCTATCACATGTTCTGTTTAGCTATAAGTGGGGGATCTATCAGGCATAGCTTCTAATTCCGATGGAAGTTTCAGGCCTGTATACGCTTAGGCAATACATACATACAGGGAAGTATAAAAATGCATATGCGTACCTGAACAGGAGACAACCAGCCGTCTCGCCACGCGAGGCGGCAGCTTGTGCGTGTTGTGTAAGAAATCATAGTATCAAAGTTTATACACAAGATAAAGTTGTATTCATTTCATGATCATGTTGTACATGTGAGATTTGGGTTTAGTTTATATGTGGTCTGGGACCAATCACTCCCATTTTACATTATCAATCGCATTCTTATCTGCAGTCAATTTTACATAAAATGATTATTTTACACCTAACTCAAATAGTTACATCTCTTTTCAACTATAAGGGTAAAGTGGTCTTTTTCTTTTGAGTCTTTATTCTTCAACTTTTGTACATCAGTTTTTCAAAGTTATATTTATTTATGATGTCTTCATCTTCTAGACATAATCTTCAGTATTTTGGTCAATTTCTTTTCAACTATTTGGTCTTTTTAAGACATGTTCTATCTTCCTAGAATGGGGTTAGGCATAGAAGTCAAAGTTTCTGTATTTGCATACTAAAATCTTGCGTACTCTCTCAACCAGCTTTCTCTGGCACGCGAAGCAGCTTGTGCGTGTTGGGTAAGAAATCACGCAAGTATCAAAGTTTATACACAAGACAAAGTTATATTTAAGATGGAATCTTCAGATTTTACATAAAATGACTATTTTATCCCTAACTCAAATAGACATCACTTTTCAACTAAAGTCAAAGTGAGTTTCTTCTTTTGAGTCTTCATTCTTCAACTTTTTACACTTCATTGATGTTTACCTGTAAGTTTTCTTCTTCTTAAACTCTGTTATAGAAATCATAATTTCAAACTCCGAAGTTTCAGAAGGTGTGTTTTATCGGTGAAGTTAAATCTCCAACAATGCGACGCCACCGCCGCGACGGGCAATCGCCGCCCCGCCGCTGTCAGACGTTAGCGCGCAGGTTGCCTCCGGTCTCTCCTGGCCTCCTGGAGTCCTTGGGTCCTGAATGGCGAACGGAATCGTCCTCCTCCTCCTCGCCCCCCGTCCGCGTACGATTCGGCGCTGCGGCGGCGTGCGTAACGGCGAAATGAGCACGGGGCGCGGGCCGGACGCCGTGCCACATCTCTTCAAGTCCACGGGCTGCTTCGGTAAAGAAAGTTTACCGGGCCAGGCTGTCGTGCAAAATCTAACAAAGCCCAATGTAAACTTTTGGGCCTCCTCGTCAGGCGCATCTCTTCTGAAGATCTCCTCACAAAAAAAAAACGAAGTATAAAAAAGAGAGAGAAACATTTGTGAGTGCACTCTTCTAAAACAAAGAAAGTCAACAACACTAACCCACACTCTCACTGAAAATATCGATTTGGTTCACGTCAGTTGGAACCAGTCACAGCACCACCCCACTATTTTAAAACGAACGCGTCAAATCCCATCGCCCAACAACACACGCATCCCGTTTTGTCCCGGTGCAAAAACTGGGATCTGACGGCGACGTACCCACAAGTAAAAAAATACAACGCTCCGACGATAAGACGCCATTAGCCATGGCGGCGACGCCGACCGTTGGTCCGAGCACGAGCACGAGCAGCGGTTCTCTTACAGCCCCACCAAGAATCGCGCGTCCTCTAGTGCCGCGGTGGTTAGCGCCTGACGGTGATCCTGATGCGGACGCTGGCCAACGCAATTGTTGTTTGGCCTAGTGGGCAGACACAGCCCCCGCGCCGCGCTCCCGGCCTTCCAAATGGCGATGCGAGGCGCGTCGCGGCCGTCTCAAGCTACCCGTCGTAAACAAAGAAATTCAAGGAATTTGTTTTTGCAGTTCGAACCTCGACACCCTGTCTGTGGCAGCTGTTGTATGCAGTAGTCAAGGGCCTCGTTGGAATGGCTGTGTACAACAGGGACTGATCCGGATAACTCTTCTGAAAGCATAGAAGAATACCATATGCGTCCATGACAAAACTGATAGATAGGTGTCTGTATATATAATATATACTTATATAACGAGAGCAGCGTTCCAGGTTCAACTTCAGAATCCTAGACCTAGACTAGATCATCTCAAGTGACATTAGCACACCAGCTAAAATGTGGGGAAGAACACATAGTATATATAACAGCACGTCCACTATCCACAACACTGACTGATCAGACATCAGAGGGGGCCAATTATTGGAGCGCGACGAGGAGAATAATGGCCGTAGCAAGGCTGCTCAACAAGCCGCCCAAAGCGAAGAGCTTGTGGATCCTCGTGCGGCGCCTCCTCGGCAAGAGCCGCAAGCCGCCGCCGCCGTCGGCCGCGGAGGAGGATGGCGAGGAGGGGGAGAAGAGCGGACTCCTGAGCCGAAGCTCCTTGGAGCAGCTCCTCGTGATGACGGACGACTGCGACCCTGGCGACGATGGCGATGTCGCCAAGAAGCACGGCCAGCCGGTGGCGGTGCTGCTGCCGGCGCTGGCTCGGCCAGAGGCGGCGGCGCCGGCGGCTGCGGCGTCGCCGACTGGTGACGCGCACCGTGGCGCCGCGACCGTGCACCACCGGAGGTTCATGTTCGGCGGGTTCCGCCGCCGGCTGCTCATGCGGCGGCCGTGGCGGCCGATGCTCGTCGCCATCCCGGAGTGATGGATCGAATAATCGCAAGTCGACAAGTCTGATTATGTGGATTACAAGCGGTGGGCGTGGGATATGATTCGGCTTCAGCATTCAAGTGCGTCAGTCCGATCAGCTTCGTACGGCGGTATTCCAGTGTTTCATTTTTTTTTTCTGAGATGCACTTGTGCCCTGAAACTTTGCGTGCTCTCCGGATCTTCTCTGTTCCTTCCTACCCGCGGACGATCTGCTTTTTCTCGCTTTTGAATAGAATGTAACCTGTACATCAACTTGAACAAGCTATTTGATCCGGGAAAGAATCTGCCAAGTATTGGGTGAGAAAAACAACGACCGCTAGTGTGTTTTTATGTGGTGAAGTAGAATGATCAGTATCTACCTCGGACTCCGATAAAGCAAACCCAATGATTAGTCCAACTTCTCTGCCAATATTTCAGTTCAAATTTGTAAAAATTCTCAAACGGTGTGACTGAGTGAGCTTCTTGGCAGTATCTCTGGATAGCCGCGCCCAAGCTGTCAACAAAGCTGCTCCTAGCAGCTTTTTTTGATGAAATACTCCTAGCAGCTTTGCTTTAGCGCACAAGTCGGCGAGCGAGCGTTAGCTCGAGTGGTTCCGTCCTAGCACAAGGCTGAGTTTTTTTTTTAGCGCACAAGTCGACAAACGTTCAATGAAACCAGGGTCATGTCTGTTTGGATCTTCGCTATCTTGCTTTCGGCGACGAGGAAGACTGGCCTCTTTAGCAGCCGTCATGCTGGGCTGGGCTGGGCTACGCAACAGAAGAACAGCTGCATTGGACTGAAGATTGGCCCGCCTCTGCGATAAACCTTGAGGAATCGGGTCTATCTGAAATGGGCCTAATCGAGGCCTGTCCGCGTATTGGGCTGATCTGCATCAGTAGGCTATTGCCTACTGGGTTAGGATTCTTGATTAATTGGGTTAGACTGGACCTGTAACTGAGACCTGGGCCTCACATCAAGGATTATTAACTTGGGCTAGTGGCCGGGAAAGGCAAATATGTGGCCGCAAGTGCTATTTCTACCGTTAATTTTCTCTCTACTACAGCACCTGTTGGCCGATTAAATTAGTTTCACCTTTTTGATCTGCCGTGTGATATGAGAAGTGGATAGAAATGTTTCTTTATTGCTGTGAAGACCAAAACTGATTTGCTTGTATCGGACCCTACAAAGATACCGATACTGTATTGGTTCCGGCAACTGCTACAGTGTTGATAGCTCGAAATTTCAGGTGCGTTCATTCTAGAAATTTTTGGTACCGTGAAAGATCGGACACATTCTTGGGCATCGCAGGTACGGATAAGGACATGTCTGTGATGCCCAATATTTTTCTCGATCTTTCACGGCACAATAGAACGGGAAAATAGCTTCTCTAAATGTTTCTCTCCAACAGCTAAGAAACACTCAAGATGCGACTCCGTCCGAGACTATTTAAAACAGCACAGATCAACCATAGATTCCGGCCGACAAGGAACTAGCAACAAGAGAACGGTAATGCTTGGTTAAGGCGTCCATCAGTCTGGCCGGACGAACCGACCCTGCGCGCGCGTGACGACAAAAAAAAAGGGCATGCTGGTGCAGTCAGACGGGTCCCCACCCATCCTTTCTACGAGACAGTGCATGGGAGCACGTGTGGCCACTCGTTCGGCGTAGAGTGCATGCGGCACGGGGCAGTGCATGGAAGCGCGTGCGGCCACTCGCAGGGTGCACTGAGGGGCAGCGCATGGAAGCACGTGCGGCCACCGGCTTGGTGTGGTGTGCATGCGGCGTGTGGGGGCAGTGCATGCGCTATGACCACACACACAAGGGCTGGCGCTGGGAGTTTGTGAGAGGAGCGAGGGCTTATGCGCCGTTTGTTGCTCGTTTGCAGTTGAGCCCAATTTTTTCCGCCACCCCATGGCATCGAGCTCCGTATGTTTCATGCATTTCATATGTATGTTTCATCTAGATGTTGCATGTGTTTCATCTGGATATTTCATATGTTGCAATGGCTATACACGTATGTTACGTGTATATTTCAAATGTTTCATCTATTTCAGACGTATGTTGTAAAGTGTTTTATCTAGATGTTGCATAAGTGGCTATACACATATGTTGTAAGCGTCTATTCAAAATGTTTCATCTGTTTCAAACGTATATTATAAGTGTGTTTATCTGGATTTTGCATATGTTTCAATTGCTATAAACCCATGTTGCAATCTTATTACCTGTTTCAGGCGTATGTTGCAAAAGTGCTTCATGTTGCAACATTAGCAGGCGTAGCAAGTGGACACATGCAGAGACGTTCCCCGCGGGCGTAGCGGTCCCCTTTGCGTGGCAAGCGAAGGGGCGTGCGTGGTCCCCACCTGCATGTGCATCAGGGCGCGCAGCTGTATGCGTACGTGCACCACCAGCATGTGGGGACGGGCATGCAGACGCAACAGTTGTATGCAGGGCAGGTGAGGCAGGTGCCATTCCATTTCTTCATGAGTGGAGCTGCACGTAGTAGAGAGAGGGCGCTGCTGGCGCATGCGAGACCGAGGGAGTAGGGCGCGTAAGTGGGTGCTCGACTGCTCGGCGTTGGGCGGGCACGCAAGAGGTGAGGCACAACAGTTAGCGTGTGGGCCCACCGGGCGGACAGCGCAGTGGGACAGGCGCGGACGTCGGGACGGGGGCTAGCGTCCGAACGTCCGGGCATTAGCCATGCCCACAAGAGAATCAAACTTCGCTAGCAAATAAACTGAGATTACTTGTCCGCCAATATTAATGTACCGCATCCAAGAATTCCAAGGCTTCCATGGCACCTCCCGCAACATTTACTAAAGAAAATGAAAAACACACATTTACACACAAAGAACAATGGATCATAGTAAAATAACAGTGCATCCTTATAATGTTTTGTCTACTATATAGATGTTGCATAATATGTTCTGAATTTCTATTTACGATGTAGTTCAAGGTGCAGATAATTGCAAATGAATAAGTGCGGGTATCATATCTGAGATAATATTGTACCAATATTCTCTATTGTTTAAAAGTATGTGAAAATCACATTACTAAAATAGTAAGCCAGAACTACTCGATAATTATTTTTAAAACTCATAATAACCATGATACCTCGAATGTTGAAACTGTTGAGGATAATCGATGCAACAAGGCAATCAACACGGGAATCATCCACAATGAGAACATGGGGAGTTTGGGTGGCCATGGAACTAGCCACACAGGTTTCTGTGTGTTAACCTTTGGTATAGGTAGTTTGCATTACAATGTTTTGTATGATTGAAGGTAGTATAGACTTGTTTTTATAGTAAACCATGAATAATTAACAATATCCCTAAGAAGCTAACGATATCCTTAAGATATGGAATTAACAATATCCTTAAGATATGCAGATAGCAAATACTAGTTGGATTTGGCTGTCATGTCTCATGACACGACAAGATGATCTATCATTTAACGGTAGCCGGATCCACCTACCACATCTTGAAATGTGAAGATTAATTATATCTTGCATATTGGTGCCTGCTACATCTTCATATCTATCCCTAAAGATGCACTCAATATTGTCCAGCAACATGGAAATAATAAATAATATATAAGAGCGGTGTTATGGTGTTATATGGTAAAAAGGAAGTCTACACTTTGTGGGTCACTAACCAAACAAATTCATTGAAAAGAGACGCATAAAATGTCTACACTTTGTGGTAGTATCTAAATGTGTGAACAGCTACTAAAGAAGTCTTTCCTTAAATGAAATCTAATAAGTGGACGATCCGTAAATAAGTCTTTTTTTATGTGGACGACCCATAAAATCCATAAGGCCTTGTTTGGATGCGCATGTATTCATCTCAATCCACATGGGTTGAAGTGGATCGGAGTGGAATTGAACTAAATTTCATTCCATTCCACTCCAACGCATGTGGATTGAGGTGAATATACATGCATTCAAAATAGGCCTAAAAGAGGCTTAAATGAAATCTAATAAGTGGACGACCCAAAAATCCATAAAGAAGTCATTTTTTAATTAGAGGTGGATGAAGGCCTTCCTTCCTTGAGAATATAAAAGGCACTAATTTCACAATTCTCTAGGAGCAAAAGAAAATAAAATACATGAAACCTCATTTCCTCGTGAGGAAAAGCTCCATAGCAAAACATACTCATAGGAAACCACATTGGACAAATAAGCCCCAAGAAATCACCAATAACAACACATAGGACTGAATCAAACCGTAATACTAGTGCACAAATCAAAGTAAGGGATAAATAGACGATGCAAGATTCATACATTTGCGATTACAAGAAGTTATTCCTCCCTTTCCTAGCCGCAACACGTGGGGAAAATAAAGTGAGAGCAGAGCGCGAGCCTTAGACTGTTCTGTAGCAGTTAGAAAAAAAATCACAAGTGAGTTTGGTTTCTAGGAATGGGGCGACATGTGTATATGTGTTCTTAAAATTGGCCTCCTTGGATAGGCCATCATGGACACATCTGATTCATGTTGGCTACTGATGCAAGGATTCTCTTGTAGTGTATAATCTTCATTTTAGATTAAGCTATTCTTTTCTAAAAATGATGACCTATATTTGTCAACATGTGTTCTCCAAAAGTTGCAGACTTTATACCTTCCTCTTCAGGGCGACATGGCCTTCCGTATGGAGATAGGTGTGGAGAGGCGGCGCTAGATCTGGTGGTGGTGAAGCCACTTAAACTGTTGAGGTTGATGCGAGGAGGACAGATGCGCGGAGAATCACAATCAAGGTGGTTTGAGGATGTGTTGGCCGAAGGCCTGAGGTCCGGCGGGTGGGGGCTCGAGCTTCGGTCCTCGCCGCTGTCGTAGTGTCCGCCCTGACGAGGGTGATAGTAGCGGCCGACTTCCTCTCTCTCGTCGCTTCGTCCACGCCTACGGGCATCCAGGGTGTTACGTGCATCACAGTGGAGGCCGAGACGCTCATGCACCGGGGCCACGACGCGCCTCCCGCCGCCGTGCGGCGGGTGGTGGACAGACACGTCCCTGACATGTCATCCCGAGGGCGCGCGCTGACTGTCGTCGAGCTCGCGTCGCCGAGACAGCGAGCTCTTCGCCTGCCGCGCCATCGCGACGCTCGAGCAGCATGCGGTCCTCGTGATGGGCCCGACGATCCTCGGGTGTCGCGGGCTCCGGGAGCCCTCAGAGCAAGGCCGCCGCGGCAGCGATGTTCTGGCTTGCCCGGGCGATGTGTGGGAGGGCTCCATCATCTTTGATGATCCTCCAGTTCACGTCGCCGGCCATGGCGCGCCACGACCACCGTCTTCGTGGCGCTCGATCTCTCGCTCGAGCTCTGCGCACTCCTGCTCGAGTTGGAGTCATGCATCCTCAAGCTCCTGGTGCCGCGCCCTTAGTTGTTTCACCCGTATGCGAGGAAGGGCCCCTGTATCTTCCTAGAACTCATCGTCGAGGTCGTTCGGTGGGGTAGCCCCTCCCTTGTGGACGCTTTTGACGCGTCCCTCGGGGGTACCTGCCATAAAACATTCTCGCGAGGGGTGATAGCTCTCCCTGCTGGAGTTAGAGTCAGAGAGCGACTCTGAATCTCCCACGAGAAGGTCGTGGAAAGATTCTGCGACGTATTTGGTCATCCCCACAAACTCGTTGTTCATAGGGGATGGGTGCATATGCTGCGCCATGAGGTGGCCAACGGTCCCCGTAGCATTGCGCAGACCGAATGGGAACCCTGTAGGGTGCCTCGAGTGAGGTGTTCCGGGGAGAGCGGTTCCCCTCCGGCGAGTTGGATCATGACGTTGGCGAAGGAGAAAGTAAGGCAGCGCAGCTCCTCTCGGGACGGTCGGGGTCCCAGGAAGGCGTCGAGTTGGCGCTCTAGCCTCCCGTAGTTGAAGCCGAGGAGCTGGTCACTCCCAGGGACATGGGCCTCCAGTGCGTGCAGCTGCAACTCCTCAAGTGCCTCGATGATCGCATCGAGGCCGGCAGAGTGGAGAGGCTGGACAACGACAGGAGCCTGCACCGACTCTCCCTCCATCGTGACGATGAAGTCCAGGCTCTCAAAGCGCACGTGCGCGCCCGAGACCCAGCGGACGCCATGACTAGCCATCCGAGGCTTGATGTGGACGTTGAGACGCGCAAAAGCCCCTACCTGGCACGCCAACTGTCGGTGTTTCAAACCACCGGCTTATAAATTTGTATCTGCATGTTTGGCCCGGATGGTGTGCTCGGAGGACACAAGGATTTATACTGGTTCGGGCGGAATGTCCCTACGTCCAGTTTGCTGCTCGTGTTACCAGCACTAGTTTGTAGTAGGGGTTACAAATGGGCGAGAGAGAGGTCTCTGGTGAAAAGATCGAACAGAGTTGAGTCTTTTTGAGCTCGTTCAGCCGTGTGCTCGTGCCTCTCCTCCTCTATGGGGCATCCTGCTTCCCCTTTTATAGGTGAATGGGAAGACTCATGCTACAGAGAGAGAAAGAGAGAGAAAAGGAGAAAAACGAGGGAAAAGAAGGCCTCCAGGGTCGCGGCGTCCTTCATTTCCTTTATGCAGGTCTCGCCAGTCCTGTAGATGATGACGGGGACGGCTCCACGTCGCGGCCCTGTTCGTCACTGGCGCCATACGCAAGCGTCGTCAGTCGCTCGCGGCGCTCCACTACGTTCCGGTGGGCGGCGTGATCAACAGGTACTCCTGTCAGAAGCCGTACGGGGATTAGGCAGCACAACGCTGACACGCCCGACACTGTTGGCGATGTGAGCCGCCAGGTATGGTCCGTCGTGGCCACGTGTCATGTCGAGACGTGCCCGCTTTCCTCCCGGTGTCAGAAGTTTGACCATGGGGTCGTACTCTTAGACCCGTAGTGGTTGAAGGCGGTACGGATCCCCATCGGGCGAGATGGAACCCGCGCCCGATGGGTCTGGCGAGACGGAGCCCGTGCCCTCGGAGTCGGGCGAGATAGAGCCCGCGCCCGAGGGGTCTGGCGAGACGGGGCCTACACCCGAGGGGTCGAGCGAGACCTTAAATACGTCTTGGACCATCTGGGCAAATTAACGTTCGTGGCCGTTAACTTTATTCCTCCGGGTATCCCTAATATCGATACTCGACATAAATACTAATACTATTTACTGTTAAGTTGGTCAAACATGAACTACCTTAACTGGCACGATTCTCCATTCTTTTATTGACGGAGGGAGTAGATTATTACATGTTAAAAGTAACTTTAGTAGAGCAGCGAGATATGCGTTTATTAGGAATGGAGTGGAGGGATCGAGTATATGTCTACCCAATGCAGCTTGAATGTTTGATAGCCACTGATGTCTAGGTTCTGATAAGCTCAGGCATTTGTGTAGGTGACAACTGTGACAAGCTCCTCTCGTCATGATTATGCTCCTCTCCTTGCAGCTTTTTCAGTTTCTTTTGCAGTATGTCTATTTCCTCCTGCTGAATACCCATACTTATATGATGCACTAGGTGATTTTCTTTTCTTTTTGTCATCAGAATTAAGGAGATTCAATACTTTAGTGCTATCATATGATGAACATTTTATTCCATATAATCTATATCACTATTTCTCTGAACCAGCCACCTGATGTTTTCTTACCTATCACAAGTTGAAACCGTGTTTCTCATAATATTGTGATTTTTCATTATGATTACTAACTACATATATAAAAACATTAAAAAATTGTTAAGACATACACTTAAGTATATATTTATTACACCTAGAGATGTCTATTTATCTGGCCTCTTAATCAGAATTGCTGGTTCGGTCACTGTACGTCTAGCTATGGATTAGCTAACTTAGTAGCTTTTTCTTAACTTCATCTATTCCTAATGTGCAATCATTACATGTTAGCTTTTTCTTAACTTTCTCTATTCCTAATGTGCAATTATTACATGTTGGATAACTTTAGTAGAGCTATACTCCGTAGATTGTAATTTTAATAATAGTGCCTTCTCTCCAACAAAACTTAGAACCAATAATAACTTAGATGGCGTTTGGATTTAGACCAGGATATAATATCCCAACCTTAAAAGAGTAATATTATATCATATCTCCGCTTCATTTAATCTCGACCGTTCATCTATTTTCGTATTGCTATCCCATCCCCTGTGTTCCTTTATCCAAAGGGAGAATGAAACAGATCATTCCGGATCAGTTCGAGAGATGTCTCGACAAAGATCAGTCAAAGCCTCAAAGGTGATGAAACAGAGCAAGAGCAGGCGATTAGTATACTAGTGCACGCGACAATATCTGGTTAATTTTTTTTATTTATTCACTCCGAGAACATACTGAGCCGAGCTCAACATACAGGTAAAGTACAAACTAGTACAGTACATGACACTGCTAGGAAGCAGTACCACTACCATGAAACACACCTGAACAGTACACACCAAACATACCAAAGCAGAGTCAACCACACACACACGAGTCGCGTCGCTGAAAACTGAAACCGGAGGTCGTCCGACGCCGCGAGCTTTCACCCCGCGCCCATGGCTCTTCAACCGGAGATCTGGATGCTCTTCACCTCGGGCTTCTTGACCTCGGCCTTGGGCACGGTAACCGTGAGCACGCCATTCTCCAGCGCGGCCTTCACCTCCTCCGTCTTGGCGTTCTCCGGCAGGCGGAAGCGCCTCGTGAACTGGCCGCTGCTGCGCTCCACGCGGTGCCACTTGTCGTTCTTGTCCTCCTCCTCCCTGCTGCGCTGGCCGCTGATGACCAGCACGTTGCCGTCCTCCACCTCCACCTTGACCTCCTCCTTCTTCACGCCGGGGAGGTCGGCCTTGAACACGTGCGCCTCGGGCGTCTCCTTCCAGTCGATGCGGACGTTGGCGAAGGCGGCGGTCTCGGAGTCGGAGGAGGAGGCAGACGGGACGATGCAGCGGAACATGTTGTCAAAGGGGTCCCAGAGGTCCATGGAGAAGGGGTCGAACACGTTGCTGCGCCTCACGAGCGACATTGCTGGTTTTGATTGCTAGCTGCTCGGTGCGTGCGAGTGCGAACTGGGAAGTGAGTCCGTGGGTTGGAGGATTTCGCTGTGCGCTGCTTGGTCTGACTGCGATCTTTGCTCTGGAGTGGGACGAGTTGTGGCCTTCTGCGGTGACGTATTTATAGCATCGTCAAGAGCAGTCGCTGAATCGTCTGGAGTTCTCTGTGCTCTCCCCTTTCTTCTTTTGCTTTCCAGAAGAGAGACGAGAGGTCGAGAGCTTTCTTCCCGTTGTCTCCATCTCTGTCGAGAAGGCCCCACATGGTTCCAGACCAGGCTACGTGTTGCTCGCTGGGGTAAGGAGTATACAGTAACGACTACTGGACTAGGGCCCTCTCTTCATTGTGCTTGCAGAATTTATTTTCCCTGAATAATTTTGCTTCCAGGGACAGGTAACACGTTACCAGTGTGCCACATGTACTGCCCCGTAATTTTTTTTGGAAAATCTAGTTTTCCAAAAAGTAATTTAACTAAGTTTACAGAAAAAAATACTATTAACATCCAGAACCATCCAAATTTCATGTTTAAGTGGCTTGTTTATTTTTTATTCTCTCTTTAACACTATGAATCAAACCATCCAAATTTCACCGTGTCTTTGTGCACTTATGATATATCTTAAGTATATTTTTATATAAAAATATATTTTATGATTAACATGGTGATACTTATTATGCATATAAATATTAGTATTTTTATGTTTAAGATTGTTATACTCCTCGTGAATGAGATTTTTATTTTTATGGATCAGATCATCAGAATGTGTACATGCATGACGAAATGTGGGTTTGAACGGTTAATCATTGGAGGCTATAACATTGAACTTTAAGTATCAATAAAAAAGTTTTAAAATCTGGTGATATTATGCAAAAAAAAAAAATTAAAACAACACATGTCTTACAAGAGGCAACAATCCAATTTCTTATGTAATGTAGCAATACCACAAATCTAAAATTACAAACAAGCATAAATGGAAAAGGCATCAAAATTGTCTGGAGTCTATTAATAATAAAGCTCCACCCATTGTAACGACCCACAGCCTGTTCGGTTGGCTGTGGCTTATCGTAAACAATCGTAAATTTTCAGCCAGAACAGTATTTTTCTCTCACATAAACCAGCCAGCAGTACTTCTTCACGAACCAGCAACGATACGAACCAGGCAACCGAACAGGCTGCCAGTGTGCATTTGACCATAAATAACATGGTCATCAGGAGCATTGCACAAAATGCATATTAACAAAACATATGTGTTAGGTAGTCCTGAAGCCAACAATTTCGTACCTGACAGATGGTCTGGCTGATCCATCAAACGGTTCGGCGGCTGCTTTGACAATTTATCAGAGTTGTGTTTTGTGGGACGGTCTGGAAGGGACACTAGATGGCCTGCCAGAACAATTCGACAACAACACAATTTGTGAGGTGTCTATTTCCCTCACTTTGTAGTCCCATCTCTTAGCACAAGTGGCACCAACTCACAACAATAGCACTATAATAACTCTCACTCTTTCTCCACACACAAATCCCCCTCTCTCTAGCATGAACCAAGAAAAGTGAGGAAAACCCAAAAAGAAGAAGAAAGGGAAGAGAAGGAGGAGCTTGAAAGTGCTACAACAATATCCCCAAGCATCCCCAAGAAGTGCTCTCACCCTCTAGCTTGTGGGGGAACAACAGGCAAGAAGAGGAGGCAAGGGAGAAGGAACCATCTACATGGGTTATACCTAAAATGAAGGCAAAGATTTCTTTGATACCTATTCATCTGTCACTAGATTGACCACCATTCGAGAACTACTTGTTTTCCTTTGCTGCCTCTTACGGTCTTCCTGTTCATCAAATGGGTGTGAAGAGAACTTTTCTTAATGGAGAGTTGGATGATGAAACCCATGGCTCTGCCCGATAGGTTGGTAGCAAAAGATGAAGAGAGCAAGGTGTCCAAGTTACTAAAATCTTTGTATGACCTGAAACAATAACCTAAGCAATGGCATGAGAAGTTTGACAAAACTCTAACTTCGGCGAGCTTTGCCATTGATGGGGTTGGTAGATATGTGTACTATCGTTGTGGTGGGGGTGAAGGAGTTATATTATGTTTGTATGTCGGACGACATTCTAATATTTGGTACAAACATTAATATCAATGAGGTCAAGTCCTTTTGTAAAAGATTTTTTTATATGAAAGAAATGAGAGGGGCTGATGTAAATCTAAACATCAACCTAATTAAGGGTCTGTTTGGTTTAGTTGTGAGTTGTGGAAAAGTTCTTATGAGCTGCAACAAAAGTTGTTGTGAGCTATGTGCTGTGGAAAAGCTATAAGTTGTTTGGTTGAAACAACAATGAAACCTACATACACACACTCCCTCTCTCCCTTGAAACAATTATGAAACATCTCTCTATTTCTTCCCATTTGAAAAAGCAAAAGCCAAAATCCAAAAAAGGTACAAGGTGGTGAAAAAATTGTACTATGTGAAAGTAGCAACTTCTAGTTCTACTCGTTTGGTTGGTGTTTTGCTTTTTGACAGCATAAGTACTTTTCAGAAGTTGAACCATTGCAATCTCACAATGTTGAAAATGTCTTGAACTCATTTGGCTTTATGGATATCAAGGCTTCTCTAGCACCTTACGGTCCAGTAAGACACTTCAAAAGAACAAAAGAATAGTAAGAGACCAATTGTGGGACTCTTAGATTATCGGTTCACTCATGTACTTAGCTAGTGCACCAGGAGTAGACATCCTTTTATTGTGAGCAAATTAAGCAGATTTATGATGATCATTGGGATGCATTTGAGAGGGTCTTGTGCTATCTTAAGGGTACCATTAGTTATGTGATTCACTATTTAGGGGGACCCAGCTATGCTTGAAGAATATAATTAATAGTTCAATCTAGATATCTGATGTTGATGAGCTTTACATCAGAAGTGGGTATGTGTTTACTCTTGGTGGTGGTGCAACATCATGGAGGTCATGCAAATAGTCCATTTTAATGAGCTCAACTATGGAAGAAGAACTTATTGCTTTGGATGTAGCTATTGCAAAGACAAAATGGCTACATGAACTCTTGAAGGACTTGCATGTCATTAAAAAATTAATACCGACTATGCTTATAAACTGTGACAAACAAATTCTTATTTTAAAGGTGAACAATGCTAAGGATAATGTAAAGTCATCAAGACACACAAAATACACTTGAAGTTTGTCAGGAAATTTTAAAACTTTGGAGTGATAGCTGTTGCTTTTATATTCAAATAGACAAAAACCTAGCAGATCCCATTACAAAAAGGCTATCTCGGAATGTGATAGAAAATTCATCGAGGGAGGTGGGTATGATACCCAAGTGAGTTTTACCATAGTGGTAACCTAACCCATTTTTTATTAGAGATCCTGTGACTCAGGACCTAGGAAAAACAAGATATTGGTTAACAGAGGAGAGTAATTTATAACCCTCTCTAAGTGAAATGCAATACTCTCAAAGCTGTAAGGCGGATTAGGTCATGTCTTTAGTAAGCAAATATGTTGTCCTAGAAAGCATTTTTAAAGAACTACACCTATAAGAGGTATACTAGATTGTTAGGCACTGTAATCTATAAGAGTGGTGATCTCTAGTAATCTCGTGACAAAGAAACCAGGGAGTATGATGTATATACTCCACTCATGGAGTAAGCTATTGGTTATGACTTTGAGTGAAACATGTTTGCACAAAACTTGTAATTGAAGGCATAGTCCATTACTCAAGTGGTGGATGGGTGTAGCCTAAGAAGCTCTTTGCTGATGTTCAACTTAATAAACTCTGCTGAAAACACTGGTATATAAATAGTAGTGGGAGAAGGAACATTTTCTATATTGGGCATTTGAGATCTGGTGGAGGATTTTTAGAATTTATATAGATTGGTTACCAGAAGCCCATATGTAGAAATTCTAATAAATTTTGAAGGCCCATTGCATGTGTTCCCTGATGACCTTTAATGTTTAAACTCACAAGTAGAAGTGGAAGGTGTGACATTAATTAGTACTGTATTGCTAATTGATGTGGAGGTAGGGGGCCTCCCTCATATATGTATCAACCTCTCCTAGGAAGGGCGCATCACAACTGCTATTGGGGAGCCTCTAGGGTTGGGAATATCTAAGATAGTTAATTAGATTTCCCCGCTTCTCTATTGTGATGTTATCGTAGTCTATCCCATCCCAATCACCGGTACACACACCAGAACTACGATATGGGTACCCTTCTGATCACTAGTGGCACCAATAATTGAGAGAGCAAGTTTCCACAACATCTCGCTCTTGTAATCCTGCACCGAGAGAGGATGGATAAAGTTTTTGGGAAGCGCTTCACACTTCTCACATTCTTCAGCAAGAGTCGCCTTTAGGGCAAGACAGGCGGTGTCGTGATACTACGCTTATTCCTAGCCTAAGTCATTGTCAATAATATCGCTCTTCCACCCGCCATGATGACACCATCTACAAATATTTAGCTCGATTATCGTCCTACAAAGTGTCGCTGCGCTGCATCAAGTTGCTACAATGCATTAGCTGAATTTGACTACATCAATGAGACTTGGTTTGACCCGAGTAACTGTGTAGCTGGTGCCTCTGGCACCGGTTCTGCTTGATTGTACAATTCCTGAATCATTCTGATATGATTTATCTATTCTATTGCTTGCAGTGCTACCTGTTTGTCCGAGAATAACATGCTCTATTTAGTTAGTGCTAGAATCGTGCGCATACTACCTATATTCAGAATATAACTCTATAAATACCTTATTTTCTAGTATTTTTGCACTTCACTTAAAGTTTGGTTCTTCGAGTATTTATTTTTCAACAATTACTACAACGGAAGCGCTCTAACCCGAGTGTCCGATGTCCGGACGCTCCACCCTCTCTCTGCGCCACACACGCCACACCCACCCGTCCTCTATGCCATCGTCGCTTATGCCGCCCCACCCCGCCTCTCATGCGCCGCCACCCAGCTCCACGTTGCCGACAAA